TATGTTGCGACCATTCTGAGGCTTCCTAGCGATTAAACACGCCATGAAATGTATGACATGATAAAGTTCACTTATTGGATTATCCTATTGTAGACGGCAGTGAAATTGGAGTACAGAGTGTGAGATTGCACACGTATCTTTTATTAATTTGGTTATACCCAACAAATCTCGACACAGGCTGTAATTAATTCTGTGAACAATGCGCGTTTCAAACTACGGAATGAAACTGTTTTCATTGAAATATTCTATGGAATTAAAAATTCCAAAATAAGAATACGAACAATATGAATTATCACAGATCTACAGCAACACTAATGTAATCTAATACAAAACTACAGAATGAAAAATTCTGAAATAAGAATATTTTTATTTGACAAAAATGGAAATATTTCTTGCAGAATTAAAATATTTTTATTAAATAAGAAGCATCGTATGAATTCTCATAAATATAAACAAGGCTAATTATACAGGGTGTCCCACGCAACTGGAACAGGCTGTACCTCCTAAACGGTTGGGAATAGAAGATGTTACAAGTAAAAGTTCAATGGTATCAGAGGGTGCATAATATGCAACTAATTTCATGCACTTTTGTGCATCGGTGCATCAGAAAGATGCAACTGCACCTTTTTTTTTGAACGGAAACCTATGTTTTCGAGTGCACCAATCGATGCAGTTTCTTGTGCTCTACATAAAAGTACTAACTCACTTATGCCCTAAACTTATTCGTTAGGAAGTTATCGAAGCTAAAAGTTTTCTCGGTAAGTGTTCCGGAGTACCTACGTTACGTTCCATTATAATTCAGAAGTGCATAAAATTAGTTGCATATTATGCACCGTCTGATACCATTTAACTACTACTTATAACATCTTCTTCTATTCCCAACCGTTTAGGAGGTACAGCCTCTGTTCCAGTTGCGTGGGACACCCTCTGTATATTCAAATCTGCATGGTTCCAAAGTGAAAATTTTTGAAAATTTCGACGATCGTACAAATTCTCTTGGAATTATTTCTCTCATAAATGTCAATATATTTGGTTAGATGGTGAATCAGATGCAATGTACGGTGTGTAATTATACTTTGGGGTATAAATTATGTAGAATTTAAAGGAACATGGAACATTTATAGATTTCTTATCCATTTTTAGATACTGTTGTTGGAGGCTGGCATAGAAGAACCACTGGTAGCCGATATTCCGGCCTTTGCCTCTATGTTACAAGCCAGTAGTATCGATTGGATGTATCGCACGCAGCCAGAGCAACACTCTTGTCGATCGAGAAGGGGTGGAAGTTGTGCGTGGGCAAGGGGTAAAGTATGTATTCGAAGGCTGACTTTAAAGGAACAACAAAAATTGATCACTGCTATGCTACTCAATTTTTACTTATAAATCACGTC